GGGATCTGTCTCTGGGGCTCATCTAGTTGTCCTGGTCTCCGCTGTCTTTCAGGGCTGTAGAGGTCCTTTCTAGGTGCTGATCCACCATCTGGGCTGGATACGGACTGGATCCGGGTGACTGCAGTGACCATCTGATCTGGATACAGTCTGGATCTGGTGGCTATGGTGACCTCAGAATAAGACTGAGACAGACTAATATTAGCATAGGTGCCATTCTTCTTATGATGTAACAAGTACATCGTGTGTTACCTAATTAATGCAGCCTAACAATCTTTTACCGGATTTGAATTATCGAAATGTGTTAGTGTGTTATGTGTAAGCCAGGTTAAATAGATTGGTTTTTAAGCTAGATTTAAACTGACAGAGTGTGTCTGCCTCCTGAACAATGTTAGACAGATTGTTCCAGAGTTTGGGCCCTAAATAGGAAAAGGATCTGCCGCCCGCAGTTGATTTTGATATTCTAGGTATTATCAAATGGCCAGAGTTTTGAGATCATAACGGACGTGAAGGACTATAATGTGATAAGAGCTCGCTCAACTACTGAGGTGCTAAACCATTCAGGGCTTTAAAAGGTAATTAGCAAGATTTTAAAATGTATACCGGACTAATATGGTCATACTTCCTGGTTCTAGTAAAAACTCTAGCTGCTGCATTTTGGACCAGCTGGAGTTTGTTTATTAAGCGTGCAGAACAACCACCCAATAAAGCATTACAATAATCTAACCTTGAGTTGAGAGCATAGGTCGCAATTTAGATATATTTCTGAGATGGAAAAAAAGTTTTACAAATGTCAGAAACGTGGCTTTCAAAGGAAAGATTGCTATCAAATAGCACACCTAGGTTCCTAACTGATGACGAAGAATTGACAGAGCAGTCATCAAGTGTTGGACAGTGTTCTAGGTTGTTACATGCAGAGGTTTTAGGTCCGATCATTAACACCTCTGTTTTTTCAGAATTTAGCAGTAAGAAATTACTCGTCATCCAGTTTTTTAAATATCGACTATGCATTCCGTTACTTTTTTCAAATTGGTATGTTTCACCGGGGCATGAAGAAATATAGAGCTGAGTATCATCAGCATAACAGTGAAAGCTAACACTGTGTTTCCTGATGATATCTCCCAAGGGTAACATCTAAAGCGTGAAAAGTAACGGCCCTAGTACTGAGTCTTGAGGTACTCCATACTGCACTTGTGATTAATATGATACCTCTTCATTCACTGCTACGAATTGATGGTGGTCAGATAAGTACAGTTTGAACCATGCTAATGTAGCATGTCTGGACCGGTCACCCTCACACACATAGAGACCACACGACCAGTCGTTGATGAGATTCAGCACTTTCTTTTACTCAATCTGTTACAAGGAGAAATAATCAGTGGATCAACAGGCGACAGCTTCTCCGACTCTGGCACACAGAGTCATTCACGGGGGAGAACCGAGTAGTACATGTGCTCATTAGCCTCGCACACAGGCAGACTGCCATGATACAATAATGTAAATAAATTATACTGTTTACAATATGTCTCTTGTCTTTCTTATACATCACATTAATATTCCTATTTATACATTACAATACATATACAATATTACATTAGATATAAAATCTATATTACATTATTAACTTATGCATTAATTCAAGTATTTATACATTAAAACATACTATAGTGAAATAATACAAAAGAAAGTTATAATACCATTTGTATGAATAAATCAGTATTCCTATACGTTACATAGTGAAATTAATCATTCAATATGTTTAGCACCGTACCATGTGTAGGCCGCACCACGTGCGTCACGCACTGCATGAATCATTAAATCAGATTTTCTCCCGTAACACTACGTACAATACACAGTCAACTAAATCTCTTTTCTTTTATAAAACAGAACTAATTAAACAACATACCTGTAACAAGGAGAAATAATCAGTGGATCAACAGGCGACAGCTTCTCCTTCTCTGGCACACTAAACATATGATACTAATTAGTTAGCGTCACAATGTACATCGTTTAAGTTAAATAACACATTAAAATATACATTTGCATCATAACTAGCACAATCGAGTGCTAGTATAAAGTAATCACATTCATCCAGTGATAAATATGCATTTTAGACAAAAAACATCGTCATACCAGAGTCATTCACGGGGAGAACCGAGTAGTACATGTGCTCATTAGCCTCACACACAGGTAGACTGAGGCTATCACATGTTGCACGCGGGGAAACCCCGGATGTGTTCCACTGATATCATTCCCTCCCCAGACAAACTCCCAAAGAAAAGTCCGCGACTTTAACGTTATATTTTTAAACTTGCGAACAATAGTAGAGGAACAAAATTTCGTAGAGTTCATTAACCCATTCTTATTATGAAACACATAGAATTTATAACATATAAAAAAATAATAATAATACAATATAGGAAAGAAAAGAAAGCAAATTAAATTAAGTCAATAAATTATTCACACCAGCTACATTCTCCCCCTGAACTTAACAAATTTTGACTATTACAGGGATAGTATACACTGGGGTCATTAGACCAACTTTTATCCAGAACATTGTACAACAAAATATGTTTCCCACTCACGGGGAAGGTGAGTACGGCAGGTTTATCAGGCCTACTGCAGTCACCCGCAAAAGGTGCCTTAAACACCATTCATCTTGGATGAAACTTCATCTCTAATCTGGAACAACATACTGAAATACACTGACTCACATGTGCTGTATTCTAGAACTCAAAATGACAAAAACAATGTTGTAATACAATAGGGTGACCATACGTGCCATTTTCCCAGGACGCGTCCTGGGAAAATGGCACTCTCTAGTGGGGCTCTGCCTTCGGGTTCAGGCGTTTTACTGACAACGCAGCGCTTGCAACACTTAGCATATCTGCGAACGTCACATTCCAACCCGACCCAAAAGAACCTTTGTCTTGCCAGGTGTATTGTTCTACCTTGGCCCTGGTGCCCTGCTTCATCGTGAACGCCCGTCATGACCTGTGTGATTAAAGAAGAGGGAACAACATACTGCAACCGTTTCTTTCCTGTCAGATTATCTTTGGTTACACGATACAGTAAACCATCAAGTATCTTTAACTTGTCCCACTGCTTCAAGATCTTTATACGTCTCACCAGCACGCTCACGACGAGAGGCTCTCTTGCCCCCATTTACATAAAACAGGACCCTGGACAGATAAGGATCATTTTGCTGTCTGTCTCGAAGTTCGTCTAACGAGAAGACTGGTAATGGGCATTGCCCAGGAGGCAACAAATGCTGGGTGTCTTGGACAACCCAGGAGATCGCTCTCGATTCAACCCCTGCTTCCCAGTCATTATGACCCTCTAACACCGCAGACACCTCGGCACTAGAAAGCGGACAATGCATTACACAAGGAGGGCATTCAACGCTCTGAACACCAGCACTAAGCCTGAATGCGTCCTGCACTGTCTCCTTCTCAAACTGTTCCGCTTCCTCAAGCAACGCATTGTAAGGCTCATTCAGCAGCCTCTGACTGACCCGGTTATGGACAAAGGGTTGACGACTTAAAGCATCGGCTACTACGTTCTTACTGCCAGGTATATACTTGATGCTGAAACGATAGGGCGCCAACTTGGAGACCCGTCTCTGCTCACATGCGTCGAGTTTAGGCTTTGTAAGGATGTAAATTAAGGGATTGTTGTCTGTCCAAACAACAAATTCGTGGCCTTTCAGCCAGTGGCTGAATTTCTCGCAAACGGACCACTTCAAAGCCAAGAACTCCAAGCGGTAGCAGGATACTTGGCCTGAGCATGCGTAAGGGCTTTGCTAGCAAAAGCAATTGGCCGGGCTCTAGTCTCACCCTCTGCGACCTGTGATAACACGGCGCCCAACCCGTCCAGAAGCAGTCTGCTTGGTGAGGTAAAGGGTGAACATCCTTGATGGTCCGGGCATTAAGCCAGTGGTAATCAACACAAACGCGAAGATCACCGCTTTTCTTCCATACCAGGACCAACGGGGATGCCCACTCACTGCAAGACTTGTGGATAATCTCTTGCTCTTCCATCTCAGAGAGCACTTTTCTCAGTTTCTGATATTGAGCAGGGGGAACGCGCCGATACGGAAGTCTGAACGGGCGATTATCTGACAGGTGAATCCTGTGGACAAACTCTTTGGCTTTACCACAATCTAACTTATGTTTAGAAAACACATCTTGATGTCTTCGAATCAACTGCAGAAGCTTGTCTTTCCAGTATGGAGTGACCTCGCATGACTCTATGTCGAGATCGCTGAGACCAAGCTTCTGCAGTGCCTCATGAACACCAGAGGGAGAACTAACCCCTGCATCTGCGCTAGAGGAGACAGATTGGCTCTGCACGTTCACAGTTTCCCCATCACCGTGTCCAGGCTGCATGTCGAGGTCTTCCACTGCTAAAACAGGAGAAACATCTGCTATTTTAGCATTACGTCTCAAAGTGACCGGTTTTTTGGATGGGTTAATCAACTTAACCAGCACCCATCTGTCACCAGGCAAAGTAGCTATAACACGGCCAACAAGAACACTCTTCTTATGGGTTTGTGCCCTAGACGGCTCAATCAACACTGTGCTACCTACAGAAACAGTGGAACTGGTCGGGAGTCTGCCCCACACGAGGTGCTCTTGGTGTGGTAAAAGCGTGACAGCCTGAGTGAGCTTAGCAGTACCGACAATGGTTGGGATACTACCACCTTCCCATCTATCATGTCCAGACAGCATACTCAAAAACCGCTGAATCTCTGGTTCTCCTGTAGAATTTGGCTGGTTCATGACACGCCAATAGTTTTGCGACTGCTTAAGTTGACTCATGACGTACTTGATGACGTTAGTGCCAACAATTAACTGGTCTTTTTGCCCTGGTATGCTCAGACTCAAGAGTCCCGCATGTATCCAGCAACCTACGCTCAACTTCCTCTTTAATAGTACACGCCATAGAACCAGTGTCTAACAGGCCTTGGCAAGCGACCGTATCATTCACCAACACATCGGTATAAAACAAACTGTCAGCTTTTTCCAGCTTCGCAATGTTTTGGAACAAGATAATACTGCCACTTGACTCAGTCTGACACTGGTTGCTATAGATGACCATAGGATCATCCTCACTGGTGAGAGGTTGAATCTCAACACTCACACTGCCCTCTCCCCAGTGTGAGTGATCTAGTTTCCCTGATCATCGCTGGTCTGGGCCACGCCCTGGGCAACAACATGAGTTCCAACTGCTTTCTCGGTAACAACAGCCTGATTTACTACAAACTTAGGCACAGGTGGGACTGGTTTCCAGCACTTACAGTCCCTCTCATACTCATCGATGGCCTCTTGGACTTCCTCAGCTGACCATTTGCTTATGGGCTTACACCTAAAGACACTGGAAAGGTCAGAATTAGGGCAGTTTCTGATAAACATCATTGCAGCCTCTGAGCTCATGTTTTCCATCTTGCCAGTTTATGGTTTTAGGTTTTCTTTCATTTTGATAAAATTAACTAGGCTACTTAATTGGGACTACACTTATTCCATTATTTCAGGAAAGACACCTCCCAAGAAAAGTGTTTTCAT